TTTGGAGAAGAAAAATCTTCAAATAAAAGTTACTTACAATATTATTATCAATAATTTTTGTTCCATACAAAATTTTCCTAAAATGGTCCGTATTCGAGAAATTTGACAAAATGAAAAAAAAATCAGTTTTTATAAAAATTGTTCAAATAAGTTGTTTGTAATATAATTCTCTATAATTTTTATTCTATACATAATTTCTCTAAAATGGACCGTATTCGAGATATTTGATAAAATGTGTAAATTTCGAATTTTGAAGAAAACTCAAAAACGGATAAAGGAAAAAACATTAAATTTGAAACTTAAGTTTTATTTCGGCCTGACGTGAAATGATTAGATTTTGGACAAAGTCGGAACATCTGGGGGGTACTTTATGGGAGGCCGTTTTTATATTTTATGGAATATATCTGTTATTTATGTTTGGAGAAGAAAATTGTTCAAATAAAAGTTACTTCTAATGTTATTATCTATAATTTTTGTTTTTATGTCAAAATTTCCTGAAATGGTCGTATCGAGAAATTTGACAAAATGTGCAAAATTCTGATTTTTATGAAAAATGTTGAACTAAAAGTTGTTTGCGATATCGATCTCTATAATTTTTGTTTATACATGATTTTTCTAAATGGACCGTAATGGAAAAGTGCTAAATTTAAATTTTTCAGTATTTTCGTTTTCAATGAATATCTATAGAAAAATGTTTCGATGTAGATGTATGTGGACAATGTATATATTTAGTTTATCCTCCAAACATTTATATAGATGCTGCAATAGGTTGTAAAAAAAACCGGAAAAAGCCTATAATAACTAGATAGGAAAGTCATGTGTTGGACACATCAGATTTTTACTTAAATCAAAATGCTCTGCTAGCATTGAACAAAACCAACAGAGAATCTCGGGTTTTTAAAGCTTTCTAAAAACAATCACACCTCATGTTTATGCTCTTTAGTTTCTTTAAATGTTATAAATTTTCTTAAAAATTGTCATTTTTAAAAAATATAGGGTGCTTTGCTAGAAAAAAGTCAGCAGAGCACCTCGGATTTTTAAAGTTTTTTTTAAACATCCACACCATGTTTTTTGACTATTTAAAAATTATAAATTATAATATAAAAATACAGGGTGCCTTTCTGGCTTCGAACGAAGCCAGCAGAGATCTCGCTTTTTTAAAGCTTTTTGAAAAACAACTACACATTTCTAGACTATTTAAAGATTATAATTTTTTTTGGTATTTTAAAAAAATGCAGGGTACTTAGCTACTCGGAACACCTAGGTTTTTTAAAGCTTCTTTCTAAAAACAATCACATCACCTTTTTAGACTCTTGAAAGATTATAAAACTTTTCAAAAAAAATGGGTATTTTAAAAAAATACAAGTTGCTTTGCTAACCACGAACGAAGCCATTAGAGAACTTCGGATTTTTAAAGCTTTTTTCTAAAAACAACCACACTAAAATTTTAGACTATTGTTAGGCTTTTGAAATATAAAACTTTTCTAAAATAAATTGCTATTTTTAAATAATATAATACAAAGTCAGCAAAGCTATTCGACTTTTTAAAGTTTTTTTTTAACAACCACACCATATGTTTAGGCTATTTTTTAGACTTTTGAAATATTATAAAACTTTACGAAAAAAACTGGTATTTTTGAAAAATACAGGTTGCTTTGCTGAAACAAAGTGTAATAAAGTTCTCCTCGCCTTTAATTATAATACTATCCTTTCTCAAATTTGGATACCTATAGGAAAATAATACTCAACAAATTCGTGACACATACATTGTATATCGTTTTTATTGATAATAAAAAATCAAATATCATACTAGTGTATAAATGTGAAAGTTTGGATGTATGAATGTTTGTTACTCAATCACGCCCCGCCAGAACGGCTAAATGGATCTGGATGAAATTTGGCACAAAGATAGATTATAGTCTGGAATAGCACATAGGCTACTTTTTATCCCGACAAATATACGGTTCCCGTGGGATATATTTGTTTTTCACAGAGCTGAAAGGGATCAGACTTGATTTTTTAGTATAGTGGTAGTGAAACATGAAAATTTGAAATATAGCTACAGAGCATAAATAAATAATGACGTGTTTCAGGGTTTTTGGATTTTCACATTTTAAGGGGGGAAAACGGGAGTTGAAAGTTTGTATGGAAGTATCAATTTTTTTTAAAGGTATAAACTTGAAAATTGGAATTATAGCTACTCATCACAAATAAATAATGGCGTGTTTCAAGGTTTAAGGGGAAAAGTGGAGAAAGGATAGAGAGGGGGGAAACGGGGAAAGTTTGTATGAGGATATCGATTTTTTTAATGGTAATAAATTGCAAATTGGAATTGTAGCTACTCATCATAAATAAATAGACATCAAGGGGGGAGACTTTCGGTTTTTTAAAGATAGGAACTTGAAAAGTGGAATTGTAGCTACACATTAGTAAATAATGACGTATTTCAAGGTTTTTGGATTTTCACATTTTAAGGAGGGGAAAATGGAGAGTATCGTAAAACTAAATAATAAATAAATAAAAATAAATAAATAAAAATAAATTAAATAATTAAAATTAATTAAAAATAAATAGAAATAAATAAAAATTAATAAAAATTAATAAAAATGAATAAAAACTAATAAAAATTATTAAAAATTAATAAAAAAGTAGAAAAATAAATAAAAATTAATAAATAATAAAAATTAATAAAAATAAAAAAATATTAAAAATTATTAATAAATAATAAAAATTAATAAAAATAAAAAAATATTAAAAATTATTAATAAATAATGAAAATAATAAAAGTTAATAAAAATTAATAAAAATCAATAAAAATTAGGTAATAAAAAAAAAATTGCTGGTATCGCATAAAAAAATTTCTCTCGAATAACGAAAATTGTTATTCACTTTTAATAATTGTAATTTGAGAAATTCCAGCGAAGCGGGATCGGATCAGCTAGTAAATATAATTTTATTTTAACGTAATTATTAACATTTTGCTTAATAATTTGTAAAACTGGTTAATAATAAAAATAGTGTATTAATAACATTAATTTCACTGTTATTATAATGCAAGATTTTGTGAGGTAAGAGGCAATAATTTATTTTTCTACGATCACTATCCAAAGTAGGCTTTTGCACATTCAAAATCTAACTATAAATGACGTTTTTCTACACCCACATGGATATTAGCTTATCAACGCACAGATTATAAAACAAAAAAGTATGCTATTGCGTTCAACTGAACGAATATATTTTATATCCGTTCTATGTAGTGTTCACTGTTCATATTTCGCTGTTGCTAGGTACACGCTAAAACACATCAAAAAATTATATACACGCGAAACGTCATATTGCTGTGGTGGGAGGTGTTTGTGTGAATGCGTCTTGTTTGTTTTCATTTACGCCGTGACCAGCAGTAGTATTTTATAAACCTTGGAAGCAAATTTCACATACATGAACAAATAATAATAATAATAATAATGCCGTGACAACAAGAAAACAAAGCAACGACTTCTCGTAGGGTGGCGGCTTTGCCGCCACCAGAAAATTTCATTTCATACCCAGGTACGCCGACCGGCATAAACACCAACGGCCTAGACACAGCTCACCTACTCTGTCAAGACGTTTCGCGTGTATATAACTTTTTGAATTGCGTACAAGTTAGCGTGTACCTAGACACTGTGTTCATATTTGGGTCACCCGACAACTATTATTTTTAAAATTTAAAATAAGTGACAATTCTGTCAAACTAATTGTTTTAGTTATTAAAAGTACTTAAATATATATTAAAATGAGTTATTTTTGTGTAGAATCGATAAATAATAGCATTTTTATTTGGTCCACTTTTTGAAAAAAAAAAAAAATTAATCAAACTATGAAACTAATTTAATTACGAGTATTAAAACTAAATTCATAAAAGTGGCTGTGGAGCTGTGGACAGAGCATCTGCCTTCTACGTGAATAGCCCGAATTCAAATCTGGGATTAGGGAAAATTTTATTTTATAAATTAGTAAAATTCGTAAATTATTGTGACATTCATTATTTTCCTTGACCTAAAATAGTGGGTCGTAGACAAAATATACTGTACAACTCAAGTGGATTGTTCATATCGCATTCAGACGATTCAGCACTCCGCCTACGGCGTCGTGCTCAAACTTCGACTTCGTGCGATATGGCCATCATATCCACTTTTGTTTCACAAACTACTATTTCTGCGAATCGTTATAATTTGACACTATTGACGCACGCCTGCGCCAATGTAACTTTGGCACACGCTTGTCTGTTTTCATTTGAATTAAATAAAAGGAAGCTAATCGGTATTTTAAAACAAAATTAACTTCCTAATATTTTAGATCATTCAACAGTATTTTCCGGAAATAATTAAATGATTAAATCATTTGTCGACATATAAATACTAAAACATTTTTGTTTTCTCCGAAGAGTAGATTTATGTCAAATGAACTTAACAATATTATAACGAAAAAAGGTAACCCATTTCTAATTAAATTATTTTATTTTGGTATGATCCTAGAAAAAATATTGTGTGTAATTCGAGCAGAAAGTCCTTTGGCAGTTTCAACAGCCAAAGTGCTACTTTCTGTTCTTACTACACAAATAGCTATTTTGTTACAATAATTTTATAAACTTTTACTTAATTACTAGTTATGTACTAATTAAGGTTTTTGCCCTCATCATAAATGAATCGTGCTAACAAACGAAGTCAAAACATTTTCATATTTTAATAGTTACCAAAATTAGGTACTATAATACAAATATTTAAGTCCTGTCCAGAACCTCCCTACTCCTTCCACCCAGTTTTTCGGTTTTAGCAAAATTCGCGCAGCGGCAAATGCTTTCTATGTTACCTCTACCCTTTCTAACCTCTTTGTATTTACCTAAAATACACCGTTCTGTTCATATTTATCTTAATATTATGAACCCACTAGCCCCCGTTTACCCCTTAAGGGAATAATATAGTAATATTAAGTACAATATATATTTTTTTAATTTTCAGGTTTCTCTTCTTCGTTGTTAAGATCGACTCACATTGATGGACATTTTGAGAAATGCTACGCAGTTTGTCAAATTTGTGGAAAATTTATGAAAAAAATTGATTTTTTTCAACATTTTCATATTCATGCAGTGAACAATAGAATTAAGAATCACATTGACGATAAACCTTCTAAATATAATTTTTCTTATAGAGAATTGATCAAAAGAAAAAGAGTTAAGCAAAAATATAATTTACAAAAACATTGTGGAAAAAAGTTATTTAAATGTAAACTTTGTTCTGCAGGTTTTACTAATGAATGTACCTTACTAAAACATTTACTAATTCACGAAAAAAATGCAAAACCATTTGAATGTGATATTTGTTGCAAACGTTTTAGTGATAAATCTGTCTGTCAGAGACATTCATTAATTCACAGGGATGATAAACCATTCAAATGTGACATGTGTTCCAAAGGGTTTAATGATAGATCTGCCTTACAGAAACATTTGATAATTCATAGTGATGAAAAACCATTTAAATGTTACGTTTGTTCCAGAGGATTTAAACAAATGTCTCATTTACGGACACATTTAATAATTCACACTGGTGACAAACCATTCAAGTGCGACATTTGTTCCAAAAGATTTAGTCGGAACTCTATCTTACAGGTACATTTAATAATTCACACTGGTGATAAACCGTTCAAGTGCGATATTTGTTGCAAACGTTTTAGTCATAAATCTGCTATGCGAAGACATTTAATTCGCAGTAGTATCCATGATAAAATACGAAACGCACGAAAAAAGTAGTCAAATTAATAAGAGAGAAAATGAAAATAAACAGTAACATTAGAAATGCTGTACAACGAAATTATCAATAGTAAACAGGAGTTAAAAAAATTGGATTGAAGCAAGTGAAACTCGAAATTTACTGATAACAGAAGAGCTGAAAGGAAAAATAAAGAAGAAGAAAGAAGAAAACAGTCTCGTTTTAGTCTTGCCAAAAAGAGACTTTAAATTTCCAGTACCTAAATATGTAGATGGATAGGACGAAGAAATGATTATCCTCAAAATTGGCCACCACGTCTGCCTAACCTCAACGGATGGAGAAGAATTATGGAATCGCATTGTGAATAAATGTAACATTATAAGAATTACGGAAAATTTGTTCGACAGGGTGGATGTGAATTTCCGGTAAAGAATGAATTTGTGCCTTAGGGAAAATGGAGATCATTTTCAACAATTTCTTTAGAAATTTGTTCGCTTCATTTTTGTTATTATGTTATTAACTATACATATAGATATTATTATTAGTTTTAATTGTGTTCTCATTTAAATCGATTTTATTAAAAGTTTTGACACTTACAGAGCCAACTAAAGTTTCAATTGATTTTTGTATTAACATAATCATAATGCATTGGTTAATTTTTTTAGTTTTTATCGAAAAAAAAATTAAGTTTATTAAAAAAAAGTAAAAAAAATTAAAATTAAATTTTGCATAAAATGAAATTAAAATTTAAAAAATTGGCAGATGGACAAAAAAGTTAGTTATGAGAGTGGGTTACCCCAAAACCACCCCTTAAAATAATTCAATTAATTCTTACTCGTCCCCAAATTAAAACTCATGAAGCGCCTAAATAATTTATTAAATATAGTTTTTTAAGATAAACGGTTGAAGCGATATTACATTTTTTTCGAAATTTATGGCCCCACTTTGGGGTTCCATAACTCCTTTGGGGTACAACCATAGATAAATTAATATTAATTTATCTATGGGTACAACCTAGCACATTTTGGTGTGCCCAACACGTAAAGGGTGTTTCTTTTATCATGGGAAATGAGTTTTTCTGGTAAACGGCTGCAGCAAATTGAGTTCTGCAAAAAGTATTTTATTTACGCCGATTGATGCTTGAAATTCTTTTTCATCTAAAACCATTCAAAAATTACTAATCAGTTTTTATGTTTTAAATTTGTCAATTGCCATACAAAGAATTTAAATTTCACTAAATCAGGTAGGCTTTGAAAAAACAAAATTGGCTTATAGAAATTGATATCTGAAAATGTCAATGTAATTTTAATTATTTCTATTAAAATAGTAAGTAATATGTTTACACATTCGGAAAAAGTTGACATGATTCTTTTATACGGAGAAGCCCAAAAAATGCTTTAGCTGCAAGAAGATTATATGCAGAAAAATACCCCGAACGCTACCTTCCAGACCACAAAATTTTTGCCAGGTTAGAAAGTACTTGTGTCAAAACCCTAAAGCATTTGAAGGTAGATTTTGTGTTTTTTTTATAAATCTCCATAAATTCAATGAGCCAAATCTGCAGGTAAAAGAACAAGAACAAAAACTGTCATGACGGATGAAAATGTGACAAGTATTTTAAATTACTTTAACAATCATCATGAAGCTTCTGTAATAAAGGCTTTAAGAGACTTAAATTTAAATTATAGCGTGATACAAAGACTTTTAAAAAGCAGACTAAAAATAAGAGTTTTAGAGCAAAGGAAGGATTTTATTTGTCAGTTTTGTGTCTGGATGATAATCCTAATTTATTTTCTCATATATTATGGACAGATGAAAGTCATTTTCTTGGTCATGGATTACCAAACAAAAAAAAATACCCATTATATATTGGACGAAAACCCGCGCCAAATCAGGCATAAACGTGTGGTGTGGAATAATTGGGCCATACTTTTATGAAGGGCGCCATATTTTAGATTATCTACAAAATCAGTTTAACTAATATCTAAGAACTTTCATTAATAAATTATTTGAAAATTTTCAAAATCGCACTCGGCAGTGTTAAAAGTGATGTCTGTTGTTTGTTAATATGATTATATAGTTGTTAAGGTTAGATAGCATACACAACATATTATTACTATTTTACATTCTGATCCTGAAGGCGAATTAGAAATCAAAGTTACAAGAACTGTGCTGCTAGCTCAAAGCTAGAGATAGTCTATTTTAATGCCACTGTAAGCCGGAGAGTGGCATGGATTCTTAAAGAGAAACTTGATATGCTAGTGTGACCAAATAATAACAATGAGTAAGTAGTGTTTTTCTTTAATTTGTACAATAAGTAGGTAGTTAGGTAGATAGTGATAATTAGAAACTCAATTGTATGTAACAAATACCGATAGGTAATAAATCCCCCTTTGTAGTACTACCAAGGTTCACACGTTTTAAATATATATGTATGTCACTATTTAATTAAATGTTCTTATTTTTCTTGCAGGTTATACGGCTGCTATTAATCGGATGAGTATAAAATTGGAAAGCTCTTACTTGGCGATATCGGTTCCTAGCGGCGTCTACAGCTATGATATAATGCTCGCAGTCAAGTGCTGGTAAAGGAAGAAGTGGGTTCCAGCCACCAATCCAATATATACGGTACGTGAGTGGTACTTTAGAAGAGACTTAAGGAGGTGCTCTATAGTGAAAGTAGTAATCGGCTCTACGAGCAGCAGTAAATAATATCTGGTAATACTAGGAGCTAGATGACCAAAGTTAGATATTGTAGAGACTCAATGTCTACACTTAATGGCCTAAAAGTAATATGTATAAAATAGAAAGATTTTCACATCAAAGAAAATGAAGAATGCTTACCGGAGATCAGAAGCGGCCCCTTTTAAGATAAGTATAATTATCCCCAACTGGGTAAATCCACTTAGATTAATGTTATATATACTTAATCTGTTAGATGTTAGCTTAAACTTAATTTGTTTTTAGGTTGAACAAATCCGAATAAAGTTCGAAAGTTACAGAAACCTCATGGCCCAAATTTCAACCAAGAACAAAAAGAAAAAGGAAGTGAGCGAGAAAGACACATTTCCTGACATAGGAGTTTATTGGTGATGCCAAAATATTTGACCATAGTAGGCCTTTTAGCCAGGTACAGGCATACCTAGTTGTAAAATGTCTCTAGAATAAAAGAAGAAGAGCAGAGTTCAAAGGTCACTAAAGTAGTTCAAAATAAATGTAAACACTGAACTAGGTTATTTTAAACAATAAACAGTTAAAATACAAATGTATCCTTTTTGATTTTTCCTGAAGTAAGTAAATAACTATTAAGTAATTAAATAATAACTAATTAATTATGTTTAACATAACTATTCAATGGTAATTGTATTAATTTATAATTCATCGATTTAAACCTGTAACATCCCCCCCTTTCCTAAAAAGGATTTTTACAAAACAAAAGTGATTAGGCTTATAAATCTCCTACCTACCTACATAAACTACCTAAACTAAAACTAATCTGTATCTGAGTCTGACTCTATATTGGGGTGATCAGGCGGATGAGCCTTTAAATCTTTGATGTGCCATACACCCTTGGACTTGCCGTTTTGGTCCTTCAGCTCGTACGACCACGGAGATAAAATTTTTGATATCCTAAACGGACCTTCAAATTTAGGCACAAATTTAGCCGTTACGCCCTTAGTGGCATCCGATAAGGCATACTTACGTTTCCAAACAGTTTGGTTTAGAGTATACCTTTCGTCACGGCGACGCAAATTATATCGGGCCCTCGAATTGTCAAAAGCAATTTTGAGACGTCGACGCACATCCACAAAGACCTCTAATAAGGCTTCGGATCGAGTAATGGGATCAACATCTTGTCGAAAGGGAGTAGCTAACGGATGGACATCTTTGCCTGATAACTTTATTTCTCTTCCAAACACTACAAAGTTTGGTGTCAATTTTGTGGTTTCGTGGCAGGAAGACCTTATCGCACAGGCGACTTTCTGTAAGTACTTATCCCATGTACGATGGTTATCGGCCACGTAGGCTGTCAAAGCCGTTTTCACAACGCGATGAGCGCGTTCTACAGGGTTACTCTGGGGATGAAAATTTGAAATGTGATAGGGGTCGATTTGATATTTTTCGAGTAAATTGTGAAAAACATTTCCTGTAAATTGGGCTCCATTGTCCATTATTACTTTATGTGGTGCACCATACAACAAAATCACTTGGTCTTCGAAAATTTCGGAGATTTTCCTTCCCGTGGCAGATCTTAGAGGGAAAAGCAGTAAAAATTTACTAAAAATATCTAGGACTGAGAAAATATATGAATATCCTGATGCCGATCGAGGTAGCGGTCCAACTATATCGATACTAACAATTTCAAATGGTCTAGTTGCTACCGGACCTTGACTGAGCATTAGTCCTGCTGGTGGACGTTGAACTGGTTTGGTCTTGAGACAAGTTGTGCAGCGAGATATATATCGAGCCACATCTTGTTTCATTCTCGGCCAATAGTACTTCTGGGCAAGTTTTGAACGGGTTTTATATACTCCGAGATGACCTGCCGTAGGCGGATCATGATATGCGGATATGAGTTCAGACCGTTTGCTTTTAGGAACTACTATTAACCATCCATTAGATTCTGGAACAAGTTCGGGATATTGAGGTTCGACTCTTTTATACAGTTGACCCCTTTCTAGACGCCATGGAGGGTACTTTGACGGCGTGTTTTGTACTAAATCAACCATCTTCCGATACCATTTGTCAGTTAGCTCCGGTAGAAAGTTAGGTGCAACCGCGTCGATTCGAGGTACTGATCTAGAGAGCGCATCAGGTACAGCATGCTCACAACCCTTGCGGTGAATTACCTCGAAGTCGTACTGCTGCAGTCTAACTGCCCACCTTGCAATACGACCTATGGGATCACGAATACTATTAAGCCATTTTAAACTAAAATGGTCGGTTATCACGGTAAATTTAACTCCTTCCAAATAAGCTCTTAAACGTTCTACTGCAAATAAGACAGCTAAGCATTCCTTTTCTGTCGTGCTATATTTACGCTCCGCCTTGGTTAAAGACCTACTGAGGTAGCATATGACCCGTTCAT